AACATCCTCCATGTCGGGTTAGTGATTAATTTGCAAAGTTTCAACATTTGGGGATTAAAGTAGAATGATTATATAGTTTAAAAATAGTGGTTAGTAAATATGAGATGGGGTAAGGACCAAATGGTCATTTGCAAGGAATTTCTAATTAAAATAAAATGTTATGGGGTATATGAGAACCACATGTGATTTTAGGTTCCAGAACCTCCCATTTCTTCTTCCTTATTCCTCATTTTCTTCTCTTCCTTCTCTCAACGTGTGGCTTGCAATTAAAGGTAAGAAACTGAACTTGGTAGTTTCTTTGATTGTTAAGATTGGAAATGAAAGTTTGTATGTTATATAAGATAAAGGAAAGCTTATATGACATTAAAACAACAAGATTAGTGTTTTAGAGATAGATTTGGAAAATGAGTTTTTAGATGAAATTTTGATATGGATGAGTTTTGATGTTTGAATCAGATTTTTTTGACTTGTCAATAAGCTAATTAAGAAGTATGAGGGGTTAGAATTCAAATTAGAACATATTGGAATTTGGGTTGGATTCTTAAATGCTATATGGAGAATTAGATTTCTAAGTTTTAGAGGTATTTAATGGATAATAATTAGTTTAAGTAAGTGTATGAGAGCTAAGAGTAGTAAAGGGATTGAAATATGTAAGTTTGAGCTGAAATGGGATGATTTCCGAGCTCAAATTAGGATTTCTGGGTGAGGGGAATCGGTACCCATTCAAGGGGAACCGATACCCCCTCAACGAAATAAATTTCCAGAATGTTAGAGGGGAATCGATACCCCCAGGGGGGAACCGATACCCCCTCATCGTATAAGAAATTCCAGAATGCTTGAGGGGAATCGATACCCCCAGGGGGGAACCGATTCCCCCATGAAAAAAAAAAGAAGAAAGAAAAGAAAGGAAGACTAAGCTATAAATTTCTTAAATTAGTAAGCTATTAAAGCTTAATTTCAAGACATAGACATCTGATGATCATCTTAAAAATTATGTTTATGTAGATACCGAGCCTACTCGAGTTCGGGAACAATCTACAAGTAGGATCGATCGAGGAAAAGGCAAAGAAGTATAGGTGAGTGCATATGCATAGCATGAATATAGTATTATATTCAGTTCTAGACTTGTGATAAGTCTAGATTCCATATTTTGACATATGATCACATTCTATATTATGATACATGACATGAATTTATATTATGTGTATTGCATGACATGAATATGCAGAAAAAGTTATATGAGCTATGTGATAAAGGTATGTAAATGATATGTCTATGTGATAAAGGTATGGAAATAATATGACTACGCGATATGAACTACGGGAAATGTATAAGCCCATGTTATGTAGATGAGAACTATAGGTATAGTTGGCATGCCAAGGGTAGAGGGTATACTCGGTTCTTTAGGACATATGTATATCCTTTGGAACCTGTGTGAAGTCTTGAAAGACACATACTTGATCCATAGTATATGTATATGATTCTTAAGGAATTCTACGTGGTCCTTATGGACAATTCTACGGGCACTTCGGTGCAATTCTACGGGCACTTCGGTGCAATTCTACGGGCACTTCGGTGCATTTATACGAGCTGTGGTGACAGCATAGTGCACAACCTCACATTACTCAAATACCTTAGATTCTCAATATGCTATCATGGGCCAATAAACTTATTAATACAGAATAATGAATGTTACAGTCATACGCTTACAGGTATGGATTTTGATGAAGTATACTATATTGATTAAGTACATGGTTGCATCTCATCTCATATGATCCTGACATTTTCATTACATTACATTGCCTTATTATTATTGCCTCACTAAGTCGATGACTTAGCGTGTGAGTGTTTCACACGTAGGATCCGGGAAATTAGAAGAGACAGGTGAAGCAGCTTGACAGTATTACTCCTGCAACCATCAGATCAGAAGCAACTTAATCAGTAGGTCATTTTGTGATGTAAATAGCAGTTGGCATGTAATTAAAGGGTTAAGTTGTGTATGCTCTGAATATTTTGATAAACTTATATTACAGTATGTATATTATTGTATTTTCTTAATACAAGTACAAATATTTTACTATTATTTATTAAGAGTTGTGTTTTAAAGTCAATGTAGTATCTCCGACTCATATCCGGGTCGGGTATGGGTTGGGGGTGTTACATCACATCTATTCTACTTCGAATCAAATGAAACAAACAAATAATCCAAATCATGAATAAATTCATTGCCTACTTTGTCTGCTATTTAAGAGACATCAATTAATTATCCGAACAGATTTTATTTTACGTGCATAAAATTCTGATCATATAGAGCTCCACGTACTTGATGTACATTTATGAGGAATGAACTGAATTGCCTGATATATCACAAACGTGGGGAAGACGAAGATAACGAGGCAAGCGTCAATTTTCGTCCAGCAATCGCTTTTAATTTCTTTGTGGACGCAAATGAGTCGATTTTACACAAAATCTACGCCCCCAACTTGCTTGTATCAATTTTGACCTTAAACTTGGCTCCCTCCTATTCCATGTATCAAAAGAGCTTCAAATTGGGCATCTTTTTCCATTTCTATTTAACGTTGTTACTCAATGGGACTAATTTTTCAATATTCCTAAAATAGATAAATGAAATTACTAATTAGTTTCAAAGGAAAAGATATATTAACCATTGCATATAATAGTTTGATGTCGATTGTTGATGTGACAAATAGATTATATTGTTTGTTGGTTGTTCGTTTATTAGTTAAACGATGGTTGATCGATGTTAAATTCTTTTATCTCCATAAAAAATGAGAAGAAGAAAAAGTGAAGATGAAGGTGTTAGGTGCTATTCCTTCTCTTAGTCTTGATCGAGAAGTTCTATAATGACCCCTTACTGATTATATCAATTGTAGGGTTATTATGACTACTCTTAGATTGACCGTCTCAATAGATATGGCCGACTTATAGTAGATTTTACTATGGTAAATCACATGGATCTATCAAAAATTGTGTTAAGAAGCCGTAATTTTTTTAAAGGACAATGTTATGAAAGAGATTTAGAAGAGATAAAATAAAGATTATTGTTAAGGAATGAATGTAGAAGTAAGAGAAGGTTCTTTTCAGTGAACTGTTCAAACATTCAAAGTGAGAGAGGTGCTGACTTTGATGGTTTAAAGTGTTAGTTGAGATACAGACCTCAGTCCCCACTTTGATTTTAGAATTTATTAGAATAAAGCAATGTCATGGACCAACTATGTACACAAAATCAAAAGTTTTAGCTGTAAATAAACTACGTGGGACATTAGACATTGACATTCCCAAGATAGTGAACTTTGCTGGGAAATTGATTGAAGTTGGATAAGTAAATGTCACTTAAGTATGATGGGTTGCATAGATTACTATCAGGAGGGCAATGGGGTCATCAAACTCATTCTTCAATAATCTCCACATGCATTATTCAAGTAAATGTTTGCATCAATTTTAATCAATGCACGCTTCATGTTGGATGGCCGGTTGAATAGTTGATTGAAATTCTCGAGATATTCGAATCACATATCGACGACATGTTAATTTAGTGAGAAGAGCTGTTAGATCTTTTAAATAAGAGTTAATTATAGCATATGTCTTTAACATATGACCCTCATTTTTAATTGGTCCCTAAACTTTTAAATGGTTCAATTTTATCCCTAAACTATGATTATCAGTCTCAATTAATCATCAAACTTTTAAACATTTCAATTTCATCTCTAAATTACTACCTTTATTCTAAATTGATCCCCAAACTTTATATGTAAAAAAATATTATATGTAAAAATTATATTATTACCCTTAGGTCGGAGATTTTTTCACTATCAACCCAAATCCGACCCAACCCAACCTCACCCTATATAAAATCCGATATGAACTTGATTTTTTAACTCGACCCTATCATATTTTACCAGAATATGTCGATTTTGAATTAAACTATTATCTCTAATTATAAAATATGACTCGTCAACTTGAATAACTTAAATTTTTTTTACTCGATCCGACCGAATATTGACCCTATTAATATGTATATGTCAATTCTTTAACTGTGCATTGCAAGAAATCTCTTCTTATTAAAATAAAGTTATTGTTTATGCTGGCTTTGACGTGTAATTATATGCAGTGCATGTGTTAATTTAATTAATGTGTACGAACTCTTTGATTCCTGAAATTAGGCAGATTTTGAATTCCTTACCCTTAATTGTTCACTTTTAAGTTTTAATTATTATTATTATTATTTCCTTGTAAATATCTTTGATTGTTGTTTAGTTTTCGCGGAAAAGGTCGCTGGCTTTCAAGGATTTGCCCTTGTGCAAATATACCAAATTTCGTTGATTTTGAAGTTACCAAAGTTTCCTTTTTTTATTTTTAAATTCCCGAGAAAATACTTTTCTTCACCACAATAACTTGTGTATTGATTTCCAAATCAAATGGAAATGCCACTTCTATTAAAATAATATAATGTCTAATATCTAGTTTGATATATTTACCACGATAACGTTTTTATTTTAAATTCACATTATATTATTTTTTTATTACACTTTCTAATTTCTTAGGTTTTATTCTGACTAATTTTAATCAATATGTGTGCTCAAACTACAACAAATTGCTTACTTTTAAATCAATGATGTTGGTTAATTATATTGCTATTATGTTAGTATATTAATCGTTTTCATTAAAAATATAGTCAAAGGGACTAATGGCATTCTGCCACATGTATTAAGAAGTAAAAGATATTTATTTTTAAAAAGTAGATAAAACCATTAAAAATTAAAAAAAACTCAACTTTTCAAGTTTTTTTTACAATTTTTATTTTAGGAGTTTTATATTTTTAATATTTTTAAATTTTAAATATGAATTTAACATTTTGGATTTTTTATATTTTATAATTTTTTTAAATTATATATTATGTTTATATTATGACATGTGACAACTCATAAGATGACGTGACAACTTTTAAAAAAGGGTAAATTAATAAAAAAAATACTATAGGCCAAAAGCTAAAATATAAATATATTGAATATATTTTTAATTTGTATTAAATATATGGTTTTAACCATTTAATGCAGAAATAGTAAACTTACATATAATAAAACAATAATATACTCCGGAAAAGAAACAAATAATGGAGGACTGTAACCCCCAAAAGAATGAGGCCCGCTAATTTTACGATGAAATGATGATTTAATTCCTTTTTATTATTTCTCACAAATTCCATTTTTGGATGTCCGTCGCCGATGATGGGCTGCCGGGTTTCGAGAACGAGACCCTCCACGTTATAATTTCACCGTCAAGGCTTCCGCTGATAACCGAAATTACATCACTCTGTTCATCGTCTTTAACCACCGTCATCGACTTCACCGGCTTCTGATGGCCATCCAAAACCGCCAAACAACAATATTTCCCTTCCAATCCACGTTGCCAAATCCTGACCGTCCGATCAGCTGACCCACTCATAAGTAAATCACAGACGTTGACTAAGCATAGGATCGCCTTTCCATGCCCTCTCAACGCACCCGTAACCACCATGTAAGTGGCGCTATCCTCCCTCTCCCAAACCAGAATTGAACGGTCACACGCCCCGGAGAAAAGCACCGATCTCTCGTCGTCTAAAGCCAGTGCGTTAACAGCTGACTTATGTTTCTCTAGAGTTGCCACCAATGCGTACCGCTTCTCGCCTGACGGTTTTCCCCACACCCGGATCCGTTTGTCGGCGGAACCTGTATAAACCGTTCCGTCGATGGAAGCGGTGATGGCGTTAATTGCGTCGTTGTGTGCTTTGATAGACTGCAAACAACGTTTATCCGATGCTCGCCATATTTTCAAGGTTTTATCCCAAGAAACCGAGTAGATTAGGCCTTTATTAGAGGCGAGTCCGGTAACGGCGTCGGCATGCTCGATCCACAAACGTTTCACGTGACGGCGTACACTGACGTAGTTCTTCGGGAGAACGCAACGACGTAAACGGTCATTAACGGTAGGTAGAGCGGTTAAGAACTTGTGCTTTTTAGTTACGGTCATTTGCCATACTCGGATCTTACAGTCCTGGTGAGCAGTGAAGATTTTTCCGTTACAGAAAGCGACGGACTTAACGGAACCGGAAGATGAATCCCGGCCATTGTATACATCAAGAAGAGTGGAGGTTTCACGATTGTAGACACTGATTTCGTTAACAGAGGCTACATACAATAAGTTACCCTGAACCGCAACGCAGGTGATCGGATGCTTGGGTCGGGGCTTGATTGAAGAAACGCTGATGTCGGAGACGCAGAAGACTAAGCTCTCAGGGAAGAGCTTCTGTAAGGAAGGGACAGATGGCAGAGTCTGGAGGGAGAGGTTGCTAGGGAGGCTACTGCAGCTGGAATCACTTGAAGAAGCGGAAGATGACGTGGCGCTTCCCCGATTATAGGAGGAGCTGTCGGAAACGAGATGTTCCGATGAGTGCGATATTTCTGGGGAGAACGGAATGGTGGAGTTGTGGGTTAGAGTGGCGCAGGTTCCGGTGGAGCATGTGGCTAGCCATGATCGGACCTTCATGCCGGCTTTTCTAGACAAAAGAAACTGGATATACGCAGTAGATTAGAAGCAAGTCCAAATTGTTGCGGTTTATATATAGAATTTAAAAAAAAAATTAGAAAAGAAAATCTAATGCCACGTGGAGTTGAGAGAAATAATATGGTACGATCCGTCCTAGGTTCCAAAGGACAATAAATGGCACGTCCGGTAGGGTGTATTTGTAATTTTCAGGTAATTATCGAGGCTTTTAAAGTTGATGTTTTACAACTTCGAAGTGAGAGATTGAGGTGGCTACCCGCGTTAAGACGCCTCCGGGAAAGCATGTTTTGAAAAATAAATTTCACCCTTAAATATTTACTTTCTTTCGTGGGTAAAATACACAAATGATCTACCGATTATAAAATAATAATTTGTTGAGTCTTTCGACTTGTCGACATTGTTTTTCGATCGGGTGGGGAAAGATCGATACCGACTCAGAGGTTTTTCTTTGGAAATAATTTCAAAATGTGAGGAGTCGCCACCAATCATTTAAAGTACGATTGGAACACCATAAAAACTGAGTGATTTTAATAAAACATTTTATTTTTATCAAAATACCAAGTTTCAAGGTCTGCGAAAATCCAGAAATCAGGTACGGGAGTCAGTTACGCGTGGGGAATGATTAGCATCCCTCATAAACGACCAAAAATTGGTACATAGTTGATTACACTATATTTAAAATCGAAAATTTTGAGTTCGAACGTTATTTAATTTAAAAATTATTGCAGATGTAAAGTTGAAAAGGGTATTAGTTTATTAAAGTCGATAGCATTCACCCTAGCATAAACGCGGGAGATCAGCTACAGTGCTTAATAATCGAATATTGCCTCGATATTTTTGAAATCATAATGCGATTTTTGAAAAGGATGTCGACCTATTTCGAGAATCACCAGTAATCGCCCCCTGAGCATACTTACGGGAGATATACCATTAATTCTCTGATAAGTGAACATTGCCTTAGATTTAAAAATGCAATCAGACAAATTTTAGTCGTTCTAATTAACTAAGGGTAATTTAAGGCTCTCTCTATCATAAAGTGTCGAATTATAAAAAATAAGGAACCTAGAAGCTCAAACCTAAAAATGTAGGCTCTAATATTAACCTTATTTGATTTCTAAATCAATTATTGAATCGAATAACCGAGATGATCCCTCGAGCATTTAGGCGAGGGCCAACTAGAATTATTCCTAAAATTAAAAGGACTAGATTGAAGTCTAACTAAAATAGAGGTTCTAACATTAATTTAAATTAATTTTAAGGTTCGAATAATTAAATTGGAACATCGAACAAAAGCGAGGACAAAATTAAGAATTCTCCTAATTTAAGGACTAAATCTAAAAAAACTAATTAACCAAAAAACTAAGAAACACTAGCTATAATAAACACAATTGAATATATTAAATAAACAAGCACACATCAAAGGAATAAAAATAAATAAAAAACGAGGATTAAATTGCATAATTACAAAACTAAAAGGATTAAAGGAAATAAATTAAATGTAATAAGGGCCAAATTAAAACAAATCAAAATTTAATGGCTAAATCTAATCAAAATAAAAAATAGTTTTAGGGATTAAAATTCAAAAACACGTGGAAACTACAGGGACCTAAGGGCAAATTTTCATAAAAAATATATAATCATGCATAAAAAGGGTAAATCATGAAAAAGTCCCTATAGATGACTAACTTGCAAAAACACGCGTAAAGTAGGGGACTAAATCATAATTATACCAAAAATTACAAAACACAAACAGAAATAGGTAAGGGTAAATTATAACACATGTCATTGCACAGAACCATTTTATAAAAACACTTGTAAGTTTGGAGGACTAAAGTAAAATTCCCCCTAACTCTTTTTATAAATATAACATTTGGGTTTTTTTTTCATTTAAAGCAAAAAACAGAAAAAAAACGGAGAGAGCTTTATCCTCTCCCCCCAGAACCTCTCCGGCCATCGCACACGGCGGTCGGAAAACTCAAAATGACCCCAAAGACTCTGAAACCCCATATCTACCCATCTAGGCCCATACTTGGGGCTAAAACACCAAGAAACGCCCCTAAATCCGAGGAAAAAGCCACAACCCTTCTGCTTCCTCGAACTTCGACAACACCTCTGACTAAGGTAAACTTCAAATATATTATTTTCTTTTATTTCTTTTGTTTTTTTTTTTTGCAAAAAAGCTTGGTTGGTCTTATTTCGAACTAAAAAAAGGTGCCTTTTTGTATTTTACCATATTTCAAAACTAAAATGAAATATTCGTTGTTAGTATTCGAAAAGAAAAAAAAGAACTCAAAAAGGATTCTTTCTTTCATTGATATTCGAACTGGAAAGGAGAAGAAGAAAAAGAAAATGTTACTCGAAGTTAAAGAAAAAGAAAACGTTACTCGAAGTTAAAGAAAAAGGAAAAAAAGAAAGTAACCTTGACCATTTATGTTTATTGCCTTGAAATTTTTTTACAAAATTTCCAGAACTGAGAGCCTTTATGTTTTGCATGCATGGGTCTTATATCAATTTATAAGAAAATTAACATCAGTGTCATTTTGTTTCTTCTCTTTTGTTTCTGATGCAGGATAGCATGGATGACTCTTCTTCGGTTAGGGCAGAGAGAGGTGTTTGTTGATTGGGGGTTGGGGTAGCTGCTAGAGTTAGGTTTATATCTGGTTCGGGTTAGGGGGTCCGGGTCGGGTTTTGGGTTCTGGTCTTGTTTTGGGTATGTTTGGTTTTATTATTATTTTTGGTTTGGGCTTGAGGTCCGATTTTAAATTAAGATAAAGAAAAAAAAAATGGTGATCACACGACTATTAAAAGTTACAAAATAGTTCATTGACTGTAGGGAGTTGCTTTGTTGAGTCGTTCTATTATTAAAAGTTACAAAATGGTCACTCAACTATTCATTATGTTCTAAACTCATCATTTTTCATTAAAAAAATTAATAGTCGTTTGAAGTGGACATGTTGTCTGAGATTTTATAGTCGTATGAGACTATGAGATCATATTTTATAATATCTCAATTAGCATGTTATTGTCCAACTCAAATTGCCATTATTTTTTTAATAGAAAAAGACTAGTTTGAAATATAATGAATAGTCAGATGATCATTTTGTCACTTTTAATAGCCGGGAGACTCGACTTTCTAAAATCAAGAGATAATTTTATAACTTTTAATATTTGGGAGACTTAACAAAACAATATCCTATGAATTTTTGTCACTCTTTTTTTATGAAGGGAAAGGAATGCTTTATTTGGACGTGAAATTTGGGATTTTTGGTTAGTTTATGATAATTTGAAATGTTTTTTTTTTAATTTTTAAATGGTCTATGATAATTTTATTTGATTTTTAATTTTAAATGGTCTACTAATCATCAGGAGCTTTATTTCTGCAGTATTAATCTTGTTACAATTCAAAGACATACAACCTTATGGTATAGAATGAGCATAAGCCAATTAAACAATTTATCTAACTCATCGCAAGAAACTATTAAAATCATAATCTTTATCTTTAAACTCATTAATCAACAATGGTATTCTGATTTGATGAATTGAATTGCTCATCTTTGTTCCTCTCTATTTCCTCGCTCTTTTAGAAAATGCTTATTTGTTATTAATAAAAAGGGGTTTAACTAATACTTTGTATAATGATCACATAATCGGTGATATATATATGTTTAGAATTTTTCTTAATCATTGATAATGTAGACACGATGCAGTTGCTCGTACCTAGAATTTCTAGAGAAAACAATATTCATTTTAATCACGGAGACAACTTAATGGGTTTAACTATGAGATTTTTTTTTTGATTAAGCTAATGTGATTACAAAGTAGTATCTGTTCTAAGTACTCTTAATGAACGATCAATCATCCTTGCTCGAACGCGTGACCTCTAAGAACAAGAATGATCCTTTTAGCCATTGAGGTAATTTGATTTGTGCTTAATCAGAAGATATTCAAATAAGTTGCATTCGAATCATTTGCATTCTTTCAACAAAGTAGAACATTACAAGGAACAACATAATTTAAATGTTTACGGTAAAAAAAAAAAGGAAACATTGAATTATCACCGTACAACTTAGCTTAGCTGTTTCAAATCATAATTTCTATAAACCACATGAATTTATATTCGAACTTCTAATCCATTATATTTCAGTTCCTTTTTTGGAAAATAAGTAATCAAAAGTAGTACTAGTATGATAAAGTATGAAAGAAATAATATAAAAATGTCTCAAATATATAAATATTAAACAGACAAGTAAGCATATTGAAGTTGTAGGACAAACAAATTGACCACAAAACATATCAAGCAAATCAATGTATCATTGTATGATAAAATAAAGTAACCCTTTGGATAATAATAATAATACTAATAATGGATCGTTGGACCCGGGGTGGGGGTGGGGGAGCAGCAAACAAGAGAGACGACAAGAGCTTATGGCCATCCAAAAAGGTTTAAAAATGGAGTAAAAGGCCAGGCTAACCTAGTTTGGCGTAGAAATAGACGTCTAGCGTTAAATTTCATTTGAAGTTTTTTTTACGAACACCAGGTTTTATATTAAATGACGAAATTATAATATTTTAAAGAATAAAGATATATTATTAATAAAAAAGATATAAAATTATATGAAAATTTAAAATCTTTAAAAGAAACTGATCACCTCAATTAACCCCTTATCCATACCTGCCTACCTCAATCCTAACGTCTTATATCTGAACCTTTGCCGATTCTGCGGAATAATTTATCTCATCATTCACCTAAGTAAATATTAACTAAAATCCAAGTAATTAAAAACAAAGTCTCTCCACCCATCAGACAAGAAACTCAAATTGGAATCGTGTTTTTCAGGCAATTTATTTTTCTACTTACTTTATTCTTTCTTCCAAGGCTAAAAGAACGGTGATCCAAAGTTAAACGGATTAGATAAGAAAATTAAATATTTTTGTAATTATTTGTCGTATATACACACTGTAGATATAATTGTTTGTATCTCAAACTTCTAAAAAAGTAATGTTATCTTTATCAGTGAGAC